TGATCAGATTTTGTTAGCAAGAAGGATAGGGTTTGCTTACTTCTATCCTTAAAATGATGGAACTAAATGATTAACACAAGTTCAGATCCAGCTAAAATGATGGAAATCCCTCTATTGCTGGACTTCAACTAAATCTATACAAGTTCAGATCCAACTAAAGATGTATACCACACTATGTAGCAGATTAACACAAATTTGGGCTAAAAAAAACTCAACTTTAACAACAAATCAGAGTAAAATAACGGCTTTAAAATCAAAAGAACCTCAAAATGAAAAACACGAACAAAACTTACATGGATATCTCGAGATTGCAGATGCGAGCAGATAACACCAGTACACGTCCGATCCGAAATCGTAAGAGCTCCGACCCCATCACTCGACTTATTAACTCCATTACTCGCCGCCGCAGCCTTAGACGACATCACCGCCTTCCCTCCCCTCTTCGCCGCCACCGCCGCCTTCTTCTGTGCAGCCTTCTTGCTCGCATCCGACACCATTCTCCTCATCACCAATCCAAAACCATCAAAAACACGAAACCCTAACCCTAGATCCAGAAACACAAAAGTTCAAGGATCGGAAATGAAACTTACAGAAATCAAAAACACTGAGACGAGAGAGAGATTTAGCTCTTTTGAGGGAGATGAGAGAGAGATAGAGGGAGAGAGATTTGGCGGTTTGGAGAGGGAGAGAGGGAGGGTCTGGCTCGTTTTGGTTTGGGTGGGGGGGAAGGGGGTGGGGTGTCAGACGGAGAGGGGAGAAAAAAGAAACGGGGAAATGAAAAAATTAGGCGGGGAAATAAAAATAAGGGAGGGAAGCTCGTTAATTTTTTAGGGCAACATAGACGGAATTTCCGTCTAGGTTGAAACAACCTAGACGGAAATTCCGTCTAGGTTAAGTGTTTATTTTAAAAAAATAAAAACCGTCTAGTTTGTCAATTTAGACGGAAATTTTCGTCTAGATTGACTCAAACTAGACGGAACAAACTAGACGGAATTTTTTCCGTCTAGTTTGCCTCAAACTAGACGGAAAAAGATTCCGTCTAGTTTGTTCCGTCTAGTTTGTTCATTTTTCTACTAGTGATTGTCTATCCTTAAAAATTGAGATATCGTAGTAAATTGAATTCCATTAGATTTGAACTATCCGGACTTGGTTATTCCAATTTATGAGCAAAATGTACACCTCAGATATAATATTCTTTCAAATAAACTAACAAGAGAGATTAATTCCTGTCTATCAATAATTAATACTGACAACGATATTGCATGGAGTCTCTCTCATTTCTTCATTTTCCTGCTGCCAACTAATTATAATTTAATTTTGGGATAGGATATGTGCATTGAAAGTTCGATTAACGATTTTCATTGTGAAAGAAATTAATTGCAAAGCCCTATTAAATTTGATAGCAAGTGGTTGCAACAACTTTGGAGTGAAAATATCAGAACACCAACTGTATTAATGGTGCACCAACGCGAGTAAATTTCTTTTTCAGTGCATCAATTACTAAACTTCCCTTTTATTTAACTCATTCAAGGGTAGAGCGGTCTTTGATCGGGTTTATCGAGTTCTTTCTATAGCGTACCATTATTAATGAGTAAGTATATCAGTGGTTTTGACCCATTGTAGTTTAAATAGTTCAGAATCCGGTGGATTTTCTTTTACTTATACCTATCCTTTTCTACATGCAAATATATTTCTATAGGTACCTACTATTTAGTTTCCAAGAGAAAGGCTATGGGAAGTCTAGCAGAAATTAGTTGAGAATCTGGATTTTCTGCATGCAAGTATATTTCTACAGGTACTTATACGTACTATTTAGTTTCAAGCTGCAGTATTTGCATTCGGTTTGAGCAAGCATGATATATTTATGATATATTTAATACCTGTTTCAAAGGGGGAAACACACTATTCCCTTTGTAGGCCCATGATTTTCCCCCTCTATGAAATCAAATGTTTAGAATATTTTGTTCATCCATGTAATTGTAATATTGTGTGTATAATTACATAAGTTTTTTTATAATACAATTTTTATGATCCATGTGTAGTTCGTACAATTACATAAGTTTTTTTTATAATACAATTTTTATGTTTCAACAGTGAACGGTGAATGCTCAAAGCTCCCAATTTTAAGCAAAAATACACATCAAAGTTGCTACTACCCATTAGCTCACGGTCAGTGTTTTAATATATTAGAAGTCTTGTGTTTTAATATATGTCAGCATCTTTGAATACACATCAGTGTTTTCATGGTCGAAAAAAGTAAGTCTAAGCAGTTGAAAAATGTGAAAATTTAGTTCATTGTTTGAGGTTATGTGCTGACGTGCATTGTTTTATTTGCAATTTTAGCGATGGCAAGCTTGAGGTATTGTAACTTTGTTTCGTAGATGCAGTTTACCTCCACCACGAAATGAATGTGGAAGCTGTAATGTAAGAGGTGTACTATCATATTATTGATCTCAAGTATGCATGTAAGAATTGTGTATTCCTGTCTTCTTAATAAATAAGAAGCAACACTTCTATGCATATTAGAAAGTTAGAAACCACATCTCACAGTATCGGTTCTATTCCATGCAAAAGTAAGGCTTTCTTTTTAATGACAGTGACTCTAATGACATTTCTAATTGTGTTGCAGTTTTGAATTACGTCAAGGATTTCTTTGACGCTGAAAGGAGATTTGAAAGTTATTTCATGCATTAGAAATACCAACGCAAATGGGAAGCTGTTCTCATTTACATTAGCATACTACAGTTACTTTTTGGTTTCTGATATCAGGTTTGTAAATTACTTGCTATTTTTCTCATTGATTCTTGTAAATATATGTTGATGACGATGTCAGAGTTCTCTAAAATGGTTTTGGTGATTGGTATATTCAATGAAGGCTAGACCAAAAATGTTCCCAATTACTATCATGAACAAGTATTTTAATCTGTACCACAATATCGTACATAACTCAATTGTGCTACCTCTAACTTTACACGAAACTACTACCAGAGCCAAGTCAATGAAAACTTTTGATATGACTTGCATGATATTTTATAAGGTGCGAATTAACAGAATCCACTTTAATAGGGAGCATACAAACTAATGGAATCTGTCGACGTTTTGGGTTTGGTGGCTGGCTGAATGCATTTATGACTAATTTTTAGGTTGATATGATTGGATATGGATGTTTAATTCAAGGGGTTCACT